TTAAGAGGTCCCCGAATCATACCCATTCGCCGATACACGTAAACAGGTTTAAGAGGTCCCCGAATCATACCCATTCGCCGATACACGTGAGGTTTCGGAACATATTCTTAGATTTTACTGATTCACCCATGTAGGTGAAATTTCGGAATAGATCTTTGAATCATATAAGATAGTGGTATATATGTGATAAACAGTTGACCACACTGTGTTTTCAGGGTTTGTCGTGAGAACAATGTTCTCATCGGGAGCACGTGTACAAATTCGAGAGGTCACTGTAGGTGAACTCAAGATGTTATCTGCAAACAATGAGAAAATTCTTCGAGCGACAAACCCTGAAAACACCGTATGATAATCTATAATTTTTCATTTTCTCCAGATTCTACAATTAACCTGAACTCGACAGAGTATGGCAGAGACCGAAGAGAAGTCAGACGACAATTATTTCCTGTGTCTCCTTTGTTTCAAACCCTATGATAGTCCAAGAGAACTGCCATGTCTGCATTCGTTTTGTCGGCGATGTCTGGACTCCTTCACAAAATCAGAGTCCACTGCAACAGACACGACGTTTCCTTGTCCAGTTTGCGAAACCCCCACACCCCATAATAGTCCTAGGTCTCCAGTGAACACGTGGTCATCTTTCCTTCCCCTTGGCGTGCCACACCCGCCGTCCCCAGGAGCGAGCGGTGGGGATAACGGTATAGCGTGTGAGGGGTGTCGGAGAGACGGTGAGGATACTAGGGCGACGTACTGGTGCCGTCATTGTGTTGAAGCCCTTTGTTCACCATGTAGAATTGCACACAGACGCAACAAAAAAACGAGTGACCATAAAGTTGTCGAAGTCAGTGACATCAGTAAGACTGGTGGACCGCAACCATTGACTCTCCCTGTTCACGAAGGCTGTACTCAGCATACAAATAAAACATTAGAGGTATACTGTCTTGATCATCACTCTCTGTGCTGTATCCTTTGTCTGGCAGTATCACACCGGGAGTGTAGGCACATGCGGAGTATAGAGGATATATCAAGGAAGCCTATTGCGACGTGTGACGACATCTGGGTCAAGCTTGATACTGAATCCAAAATGTTGGTACACACAAATGACGCATCACTTGCAGCAATAGAATTAGATAAAGAGAGCGTCACTGCATCAATAAAATCTAAGCTAGACTCAATCAGAAAGAAAATAGATGAACTTCAATCGAAACTTCTCGACGACGTGATACTAGCACACAATAAGAATCAAGAGCATTTATTAAGCCATAAACAGAACACAGAACAGTTTTACACCAATGTGAGGAATACGCGACTTCTTATGGCCACATTAAGTGGGCACGTGACACCCCGACAGGCTTTCATAGCACGAGAACAGGCGAACGTGCAACTCACGAGACATTATCAGCGTCTAAAGCATAGAACACTACAGAGCGACAACTTGTACAGGCTAGAAATCCAAATGGATGACGCTGTCGATGAAATCATGAATACTCTGACAGCTGTAGGCTCTGTCCAAGTGACATCAACGTTGTCAGACACAACCAAACATGCGCTTGCAGCGGCTGGGACAACGCTTGAGTCTATGCATAAAACGCAAACTCTATCGTCATTCTCCGATTCCATGTCTTCGTCTGACATGATAGGTTCGTTAACAAGAAGCAAATTAAAAACAAAGAATGTCGAACCAAAACCAGAAATGAAAACAGTGAAACCGCATCTGATGAAATCTGTACTGTCCAAAGATCTGGTCGGCAGGCAGGTAATCCTGCTGACTGGCGGTACATTTGTTGATGAAAATAAATTAATAATGGCCGACTGTAACAACAAAAGACTCTTAATGTTTGACGAGAACTATAATTACATAAAGCAATATGCTATCAACGGATGCCCAACAGATGTCGCCAGAGGTAACAAGAGTAACGAATTGTACGTTTCTGTCTACAACAAGGAGATCCTCCGATGCTCCCTTGCATCCGGGCATCTTGATGTAATTGGGAAAACAGAGTGTCCTACTTTGACGTGCGGTGTAGCTTTATTGGATGAAAAGTTGCTAGTTGTGACTTCAGACACTATCAAAGTGTTGGAAGCGGATGGACAGGAAGTAAACAGTGTTCTGATAACGACCACCGGAACTACATGTATTGCGGCGTGTAGTCAGCGCCACATGTACTTCCACAGGGACAACAACTCTGTCGTTGGTCGAACACTTGATGGACGTGAGGT